AGTAGGAAGACCTAGCCACAAATGATTCATTTTAGTATCCTTTGAAAAAGGTTTTTGAGTTCGAGGATTTCACGGGCAGAACATCTTTGTGTCGTTGGAAGCTGTTGTGGTAGCACTGTGTAATGCACTGAATATGGAAATGCAGAGTCTGATGCTTTAGACAAACCTTTCAAATGCCACAATTCCTGCAAAACGTTTTTCTCCACGTGTGAAAGATCATTCTGGGTCCTTTTTTACGTGCTCTTAAGATATGAATCACTTAAGTTTTGCCCTGCAATCGAAAACCACGTTTCGGAGCCTCGAACCAAGCGAGAAACAAACATGGCTTGAATATCGTCGGTCGGTTACATAGTCTCAACCGAGTAATGAGGAAATTCAGTACAACGATTTTTCATCTTGGTCTTTGCTGGAGTGAAATTTGCGTTTGGAATTGGTCACTCAAGAGACATCATTCAATCATAGTTGCGGCTGAGAGATAATCACTCATTCGGGAGATTCCTGTATGTAGTAATACGATATAAAGCAACGGTAGCATCAACAACTCAGTTCAATCACCCGTTATAACAATCTTGAGAGAGTTACTCAGAATGCATTTCCATACACAATTTTTTACCGTAGAAAATGTTGTCAGTTCTGCTACCCTGTTGTTGGGACTGATACTGTGCGACCAGTCCGGACAAAGCACATGTAGGTACACTAAAGTGAATAAAATTACAATCCATATGCTAAAATGAGGCTGTCACCCGGTCCACATTGTTTACTTTGGTAACTGCGAAAACTAGCTCGTGTACAATACCGTCTACGCATAGTTTTGCTAGTGATCACTCGCTGATGGGATGAAGACATGCAGGTGACACTTTGTGTCTCTGTAGGACAGAATGACAAACGTAGCAAGTCGCCTCCTAAATGACTGTATCCGAACTCGACAGCCTACACATAAATAAACCACGCACATACCAATGATCGAAATGACTAAACTATCCTAGACTTCAACAACAGTTATTTCCGCTAAAGGCTCATTGAATCTATGTCCAAATTGCGTAGGTTTCAAGCGACCTGAAAGACGTAGCAGACTCCGAAAAACCAACCGCCAAGATACAACCGAATATCTGCTCCAACAGAAAACAATACTTTCAGAAACAGATTCGTGGAAACCGAACTTCTATGAATCTAATAGTGTTGCCGAACCTAGGCTCCGAAAGGTTAGAAAAATCCATTTTACAACAAAGATAACCTGCTTTGGTGCCAGCGACAACGATTGGAGCTAAACTAGACTGGTTACCGCAGCCATTTCCAAAAACAGTACAATAACGAAGAAGGGTTTGGACTCCTCGTGAGGATGGTGCTTCTTCAAACCACCTAATGTTACGTGGGGTAAAGGGGTTCACGGATTTCTGCAGAAAACAACTGATTTCTCCAATATACAAATCACCATGAATAGTTTCCGTGACAGCTGATTTTCGTACTACACATTGCCTTTGTAGAGATTGTTGGACAGTGGAAACATCGTGGCACCCCCCTCATTGAACGACCCTAATGCGAAGCCAGCTATGTCACCTTATATCATGACCGGTTCTCTAATACAACCGAATTCGCTTGCATTTCGAGACCAGTAGAAGGATTGTGCACCAAAGTTTGGTTGTTGTAAAGTAGAAGACTCATCCACTCATTGAGCACTGACGCCTCGTCCGGTTTTTATACCTTTTAGGCTGGTGGAAAATACTTGTCCCTCTGTAGAGAAGTACGACATGAATCGATTATCAGTGACTTGGAGCATAAGTGCGGTTAACATTAAATTGGACAATGAAATGCATCTTATCGCACCTTTTGTGGTTGAGCTGGACTGCATGCCTGATCAAAAACTAACCATAGTTAAAACCATAGTTAAACATGACTAGGCCACAAATTCAGCATCATTCAAGTTTTTTTTTACATTTTTTTTTGCAAAAAGACAAAGGCGAGCTTCAAAATGTCACAAAACGAGTCAGAAGTGGGGCAATAAATGCAAAAAAACAGAAACCACCGGAAGATTAGTAAAAATTACCTGTTTTGGTCGGTTTGCACAACCTTTCAGAGGCACATAACATACAAAGATACGAGTTTACGATGAAGTATGTTGAATATACCCCACATAAAGGGAAGATGATGGTGCTAGCAAGCCACTACAATATTCGAAAGTAGCCGAATATACCATAAAGAGAGATATCCAGGACGTTCGGAATTGAAGTCAGTTATATGGACAACCTTTAGGTTTGTAAATGAGCCGAATTACATCCCAAAATCAGCTGTCAATTAACATCTCAGATGGGAGGTCTGTACGATTTGCGGAGTTTCCTTCCTGAAAATTAGAAAAGTTGCGAGTCCAGAAGTGGATTCTTCAGGTCCGACAATTATTGAAAGGCATGTCAAATATTTAGGGAAAACGAGCCGCCTTGCTCAGCAAAATTCAGACGAAAATAAGAACAAACCATCAGAAGGTCTTTTAGAAGCCTAGGTTCCAAGCGAGAATGCTGTCTAGCTTGAATCATAGTGGGTAAATCCAATGGCTTACGGTAGCCGTATAAATATTTCACACTGGCTTCGACTCTAATTTGTCACGCACTCGGATGAAGTAGTTTTGGAACGACCCCATAAAGAAGAGCCAGGTCAGTATAAGAAAAATCTGACGGTCATATGCCTAGTTTGTCCATTGTAAGACTTCCGCTTCGTATGGCACCGAAGACGTTCGAAGAGTATCCGTTTCAACAGATGCAAAGGCGTTCATGTCTGTACATTGTTACCAAAAAGCGAAACGAAAATCGCGCACATGAGTCTGTAGATTGGACTTAAACGCGACTCCCCTTGTTTGACAACGGTGTTCGCCCTGAGTGTCTTACTTAAACGGCAACATTTCGAAAAAAAATTGCGTAGTGTGCAGACACAGCAGAACTGTTCACTTCCAAAATTGCCGTAGGAAAGGGTGTTTATTTGGATGGATTCACGTTTGTTCAACACGTCTGGTGATAGGATTTGCAATTGCTAGCACGAAATGGATCTTTAAAGGTACGTACATGTTGGAATCTTCGAGTGGATAGTCTATCCTGTAAATGAAGTCAATATACGCACCGTACGACTGTTTCATCTTTACTGGGAACCAGTATCGAAGTATCGAATTGCTTCACCGAAACATAAGATGTGCCTGTCAAGAGTTAGAATACTATACATGCAACGGCTGAAATGTGAGTACTAGCAGTATGCACAACAGAGGAACTCTGAAATGAACCGAAACTAGCTCTGTAGGTAAGCCGCCATTTCCAAGTGCCCAGTCCGAATAAGCGTATCCAAACGTATCCAGTAACCGGCGTACTGAAGCACCCCTCATGGTGCCAACTGGGTAGCCCGGACGTCAGTCTGTGTGGAGTAAAAGTTCAGTAACTCCAGACAGGGCTAACCACCTTGCTTGGTTTTAATGTGCTAGTTACCTTCGACAGTGCACAACACAAATCATCTGGCGCCTCCGCACCGGTTCCAACCAGAACAAAGGAGAGACTCGTGGGGCTCATGTGTGAGGAACGTGGTAGGTGCTGCAAGTCAAAAGCTGGCTTGGTAGCCCACCATAGAGTCCACGTCCGTGAAAGTGTTGGCACGAACACGGTCGCCCAGTTGGCCCACGCTGACTGTTCCCGCCTTTTCCCGACGAAGACTGAACTGCGTCAATACCACCAACATGCACACCTCATCCAGCATCCGAGTAAAGAATATAGGTGTCGCTGTTTCCAACAAGAGTCAAAATCACTCTTGAGCCTGGCTAACAATCCATATCCGTCCTGTAACGCGCTGTTCGCGAAATTAGAGGAATATTTTCCAGGTAGATCGGCTATCACCATCACTACCAGGTTACGTGTACTTAACTGGCGAGCACACTCGGACGAATAATCATCTGGTGGCCCTGACCAAACCATCGGCCAAGTAGCGACCTATTCGTTGGGATCTGATGACTATAGAGCCTGGTTTAAATAAATCGTGGATTGCACTGTGTCACTCCTCGAATTTCATGCTGACAGTTCGCTTGCTAGTGTCGACCTTCTGGGATTTGCCCGAGGGTTGCAGTCTGGCATCATGACACCGGAGCAAGTCCTGTTGCTTCTGGACATCCACGCCTCCAAGACATCTTCACGCACGTGGAACCCTGTCTCTCGACACCATCGTCAGGAAGAATCTATACAAAGGTAACTTCTGCCTACCTGTAGAAGGCAAGCAGTTTTAGAAACGTGCTCTCTGCTCCAAAACACGTGTATATCCGATCAAGTCGCGCAGCACTACCATTCGATCGAAGTTTGACCCAGCTAACTGCATGTGGGGAAGTCCGCCATACGATCCGTTTAGTGGGCTATTCGTCCCCATGTCTGGACAACCTCACGCCGGGGAAACTTCGCCGGTTCAATGCCAGTGCCACCGCTGAGTGTTCTGATTTATTCTTATTATCCGGGGATTGTCCGCCGCGTCTGTCATACACGTATTAACCTAGTTCCGAAGGTCCCAAATACGATTTCACCGCACAAACTGAGACCGATCTCCGTGTTATTCATTCTTTCTTTCATAAGGCGTATGCTGATCACTGGAGCAGTTGATTGCAACTGTCCTCACTCCAGTTTGTATTTCTAAATAGAGACGGTTGTTTGGAAGCTATATTACTGATACACGCCCTGCTTCATCACTCTCCAGGGGCTTCTTTTGACCTCAGTTTGGTGTTTGTTGATACTGGCTAACAATCCATATCCGTCCTGTAACGCGCTGTTCGCGAAATTAGAGGAATATTTTCCAGGTAGATCGGCTATCACCATCACTACCAGGTTACGTGTACTTAACTGGCGAGCACACTCGGACGAATAATCATCTGGTGGCCCTGACCAAACCATCGGCCAAGTAGCGACCTATTCGTTGGGATCTGATGACTATAGAGCCTGGTTTAAATAAATCGTGGATTGCACTGTGTCATTCTTCGAATTTCATGCTGACAGTTCGCTTGCTAGTGTCGACCTTCTGGGATTTGCCCGAGGGTTGCAGTCTGGCATCATGACACCGGAGCAAGTCCTGTTGCTTCTGGACATCCACGCCTCCGAAACATCTTCACGCACGTGGAACCCTGTCTCTCGACACCATCGTCAGGAAGAATCTATACAAAGGTAACTTCTGCCTACCTGTAGAAGGCAAGCAGTTTTAGAAACGTGCTCTCTGCTCCAAAACACGTGTATATCCGATCAAGTCGCGCAGCACTACCATTCGATCGAAGTTTGACCCAGCTAACTGCATGTGGGGAAGTCCGCCATACGATCCGTTTAGTGGGCTATTCGTCCCCATGTCTGGACAACCTCACGCCGGGGAAACTTCGCCGGTTCAATGCCAGTGCCACCGCTGAGTGTTCTGATTTATTCTTATTATCCGGGGATTGTCCGCCGCGTCTGTCATACACGTATTAACCTAGTTCCGAAGGTCCCAAATACGATTTCACCGCACAAACTGAGACCGATCTCCGTGTTATTCATTCTTTCTTTCATAAGGCGTATGCTGATCACTGGAGCAGTTGATTGCAACTGTCCTCACTCCAGTTTGTATTTCTAAATAGAGACGGTTGTTTGGAAGCTATATTACTGATACACGCCCTGCTTCATCACTCTCCAGGGGCTTCTTTTGACCTCAGTTTGGTGTTTGTTGATATCTTGAAGGCATTCGATTCCGTTTCGCATGATATTATTGGCAGATCTGCCGGGATGTTTGGATCGCCCTCACCCATAGTTCGACACTGTCCGATGAGAATCCTGTAATAGTTTTCCTCTATTCCGAGGTTCATTGCCACGGAGATATAAGGCGGAGAGATCCACTCTCCCCAATATTGCTCAGGATGGATGAGGTCCTCGAATTATGGATGCGTAAATGGGACAATAATTTCATGACAAATCAGAATGGTTTAACATTCACTAACGATTGAGTCGTGTGTGCGAAAAGTCAACCTCGCCTTAAAGGGAAGCTTGAAGCTGCTGAAGTCAAGTTGGGAAGAGCAAGCGAACGAGTCACACTTTCGTACATCAAGAACACCGCTGAAACAACGGCAAGTCTCTTACGACAGCACAATACAATGGTCAATTACAAGCCTGCGGAGGACACTATCAAGACCAAAAGGGAAATTAGATCCAATGCCGAAGAACAATGTCATATACAGGATTCCATGCAAGGACTGCGACAAACGGTATGTAGGACGAACAGGAAGGAAGCTCTCCACCAGAATACATGAACACAAGCTCGCCACTAAAAGACACGATCAATTCTCTCTCATCTCCGCACACAAAGACCAGGAAGGACACGAGTTCGATTGCAGCGGCGTTTGCAAACTGGTTCAAGCAAGAACAAAAAGAGAACGTGAATTTATGGAAGCGTGGTACTCCACCGAAGAAGCCATCAACAAACACATCGAAACTGATCCCATCTATCAGCTACTAAGAGCAAGAGAACGCCAGAACCACAAAGTTTAGAGCTAACCAGACGAGGAACTTATAGGAGAAGCAGGAAACGGACACGTCAATTGGGTTGGAGGAGGCACCCAACCAAAGCAACAAATCAACCGGCGGACGCAGGGACACCAACCGCCACGGAGGAGGAAATAGGTCGGTACAAGCAAACAATCAAACTCGAGAATGTTAGACCACAGCGCAATGCGAATCAAGGCCAGAGAGAACAAGCTACCTAAATTGGAAGGCGTTGGGATAACCAATCAGCACAAAGGAACGCAGACCACAACGCAACAAAGATCACAAACGGACCAATAGATTCACCAATTCGTTACACTTTAAGTAGCCAATCACGTCAGAAGATAACAGATAGCCTTCAAATGCTATATAAACGCACGCGGGAAAGGAAGAAGTACCCACCTAACTGCGCACTGATGATGTCACTTCGTATGGAGACGAAACGTTTGCAAGCCAATTGCCAAGCTCGGCGAACAGATCAACAGCCACCTGATCAACAACCAGTGGACTCATCCGAGCTACCAATATTTCACCACATTACTAATGTGCCTTCTCTTCGAAGATGAAATCAATGTCGTTGCATATTCGAGGTCGATACGGCTTTTGTTAACAGCTATTTGAACACCAGGGTTTGGAAAACCTTTTAGCGTCCTCATTATTTCGCAAAATTAAATAAGAATGGAGAGGTGCCATTCGTGACAGACACCACCTGGTGCGCGAAAGCTTTTGGGGGTTGACCGAATAGTCTCACACGTCCGCAAGTGAGAATAGGGACAACTTATCATACTTATGAACTCTCGAGGCAGTCCTTACTGAGCGTGTTACGGAGGACAGACCGGTCAACCGAGTCGAATGCTTACGGAGGACCGGTCAACCGAGTCGAATGCACCTTGAAAATCCAGAAATACCATAACTATGGGAATTCTACGCGTGACGTTTTTGTAACGCCTGATAAAGTGTGAAGAGTTGGTTAACGCAAACTCTATCAGGCCGGAGTCCTAGTTGCTGCTCTCGATTCGAAGCTTCACAGATTACCATAAGGAGACGAAGGAGAAGTGATGCCAAGAACCTCATTACGAATGGGTCAAATGGATCCCCTTGTGATTGTTGCACACAACAAAAGCTTTTTTGAAAATAGGCATTATCACCTATTCTACCCCAGCTGTCTGGAGCGATCTCAGACAGGAAGAAAACAGGCCGGGTAATCAATGGCTGAGAGCCTCTCTCCCATCCTTGAACAATGTGGGTGGGAGATCATCTGGAGCAGGAGCTCGATAGAGTTTGACAGGACATTAGAAGTCATGAACCTCTGAGGATGTAGGGAGATTCAGGTTCACCGTCCAGGGTTCTAGTACGGTCCGACAACCTGAATGATCCTGGAAAAATCAAGGCTCAGGACATCTTAAGCGCGTAGCTTGCAAGGATCAAAAGAGATAGAGGCAGCAATTTTGTGCTGAAACATGACGATAGAGCAGTGCGCAACCCTGGAATTCTTCTGGTTTTCTGGGTCATAACGGGAGAAACAACCCTGGCCCCAGAATTTCGTCCGTGTTCACACAGGCCAGATGGTCGGAGCAGGAATTAAAATGGACTACTTAGGAGATATTAGTAGCGCGAATAAAAGGTGAAATGCCCCATCGGGTCACTCGGGCTGCCCTCATCAGTCGCATCTACTTATCGAGTCGTGATTTGAATCAGTAATTCTAAGGTCAGTGGTGCTGTATGCCGAATAAATGGAAGTCAGGCAGGCTGTTGATTAGCCGGGAGATTCTAAAACCTAGTCTAATAAGCTAGCCTGCCGAATATCAGAGTTGCGGCATTGGTGGTTCTCAAAAATGATGAAACAATCGTACGCCGCCTGTCGGTTCTTAAGATTTGTGAAATAACAGAAGTACCCCTGGAGCGGTGGATACTACTGATGAGGCATGCGAATAGTATGCTTTTTTTTTCGTAATCCGCCTCCCCGCCCCTGAAAAGTGGGATTTGTGGAATCGCTTTGTAGCGTCTGCTTGCATTTGATTAAGTCAATGAATATCCAGGAAAGTTCAGGAAGGCGCGTTCAAGGAGAAGACGGATACTCGGTTTTCGTAAACGAGATGCTTCTCTGTCCAATAGTCTGTAACTGTTCAGTTGGTGCTTTCTAATAAACAACTCCGCAAAGAAGGTTTTTTTCCTTTCACCCCTACGTCTGAGAGCCCCCTGACGGGGCTTTTTCTGAAATCCTTTGCCTTTATGAATGGGAAACAGCGCTTCCAGTACCTTGCTTCTTTACAGATGGATATACAAGTTAGTCGCTCTCCAGGGGGGAGAAACCTATTGGCCTACTTTATTTCGGCTGTTTGGGTATCCTTGGTGTTTAGCCACAAAGATCAATCAAATTGTCGCGGTTAATCAGTCGAAAATTAGTTTGAGCATGGTCATCTGAAAACGTCTCGTTTGATGACGCTGCCAATATACATTGGATCTCAGCAAATTTCCAAAACAATGTACAGATTGAACGTCACGTAGTTGTGTGACTTTTCGTTTCACCAGTGTTTGTTTTCCCCTTGTAAATTCAAGTGCCTCGCTTTGAGGTATGGGTCGCAACACTCCATGTCACATATTGCTCTCTTTTTGGTCTGAAAAACCTCACTTATATGCTTTATTAGGCCACACTGACCAGTCACATATCAGATGATGGTTAAAAAACCGGAGCTGTTACCCGCAACTCACAGCTGGTGCCCAAATTTGGCGTTAAATTTGTCATTCACACTGCAGTTTTCTACTATTCCAAGTTGCAAATTGGTGACAGTCTGTATCCATAACCAAACTTACCGTGTGCCATACAAGGCTTGAAGCTGTAAAGGGCCAGGTAGATGTTATTGCTTTCCCAGGGTTCTGTGAGAATCAGCAGTAGGAGGATGGTCACGCCAGGGATTGCTGTGGCAGATAGGTACCTGAATATCACGCCATCCGCAATCGTTGTGTCGCGTTCGCACGACCAAGCACGCATCACTTTGTCCAGATGCCGAATGTAAGCAACGTTCTATTTTCACACCTGACTGCTAGATAGTCCTAAAGCTGGCTCTGGATGAACTGGTGCTGTAAGCCTAGAGTTACTATCAGTAAATGGTAAGCGCGGTTTCGGTTAGTCATTTTTTGTTCACACATCTGTCACGAGCGTGATGGCTAGGTGTAACAAAGTGGGACAAGCGAACAAGCCATCCAAATCATACTACGACTGTGGTCAATTTGAGCATACAGTACGTCTATCAACCCGGTCTCTCGCAAAATGCTTAACATATTTCACAGCAACATTATAAACACCGCTACGATGAAATCAAATCCACGATTCAGAAGGAATCGAAAAGACGTCAGTTCTGGTTTGCCATGACTAATTGCTCGTTTACTGGCAATCATTGACACATGGTTGCATGATAATACCCCACGTTCAATTTTTATGGACGGTGATATTTCAATATTCACTTCTCGCGATCACTTGTCTACTTCTGGATCAGTTCAATTATTTTTGCCCCAGCGTCCAATGAGAAACAACCGAAGGGAAGTCTGACGTTGTCAGACATCGTTTTCAGGGCTTTCAGAAGGGACCGTAAAGCGCACATGAACTGAGCAATACAACTTTCTGGCTTTACCTCGGTAGCATCATTATCATTATCATCATCAAAG